TGGAACTCTACCCCTTTTCATTCTTACCATGAATATTCATGAATGGGGTATTTGGTTAGGAAATTGGTTTTATGAAACTACAGGCTTGTTTATCAATTATAAGAATACTCTTATTATTATATTATTATCATTTTATCTTGCTCCCATTCTGGCACTAGGAGCTTTAAGCTACTATTGCACCATATCGAAAATAGTGGCAATGAGACTACAGTAAGTCATGAGAAGGAAAAGCGTGAATAGCGAAAATGAAGTGTTTGCATAAAAGCACGAGCATTAGACTTTACAACCATCTAGCTGCCCGTGGGTCTTTCCCTCCTGATCTTAGGCTTATTTACGTACTTTGCATTGTTGAGTTTCTCATCATCATTCAGATTTTCTGTCTTCAGAAGGTCATAGTTAATGGAACCTGGTTGGATGGCATCAATGAGGTCCAGAACAGGCAGACTCGTACTGATCTTTGGGTCCTGTGCAGAGAGAAAGGGAGGGTTTCATCAATGTATCCCAAAGTTACTCCCATTCAGCTCAAAGGAAGTGAGTGGCTTTTTCTTCTTAAATATGTAATATACACAGCCTGGTCTTGGAAATGCAGCAGTATTCCACATAGTGTTTGAAATAAACTGTAGTTTCTGTAGGGGCATCAGTAACTTCCCAGAAAACCCACTGTCTACCAACAGCAGGTAGTCATTCTCAAATAATAAATAGGAGGAAGTTAGCACAACTGGAAAAAGTCATAATGTTAAGAGCGGATCGTGTCAAGCATGTGGAAAAATGCTCAGCACCGCTAGTCATCACAGAAGTGAGGACCAAAACCACAAAGAGATACCACCACACATTTAGAAGGGCTACTATTAAAAAGTCAAAAAATAACAGATGTCAGTGAGGTTGTGGAGAAAAGTGTATTATTATAGTTCCCTTTTATTATATATTGGTGGGAATGTAAATTAGTTCAGCCGCTGTGGAAAGCAGTTTGGAGATTTCTCAAAGAACTAAAAATAAAATTACCATTTGGACTAGCAATCCCAATACTGGGTACATACTCAAAGGAAAACAAATCATTCTTCCAAAAAAGCACCTGCATGCTCATGTTCATTGCAGCACTATTCATAACAGCTAAGATATGGAATCAACCTAGGTGCCCATCAACAATGGACTGGATAGAGAAAATGTGGCACATATACACCATGGAATACTATGCAGCCACAAAAAAGAATAAAATAATGTTATTTGCAGTAACATGGATGCAGCTGGAGGCCGTTATCCTAAGGGAATTAATACAGTAACAGAAAACCAATAAATACTGCATCTGTTCACTTACAAGTGGGAGCTAAACATTGGGTATATACGGATATAAAGGTAGTAACAATAGACACTGATGAAAACAAGCAGTGGGAGGATGGAAGTGGGTTAAAGGTCAAAAACTGCCTATTTGGGTGACGGGGTCAATAGAAGCCCAAACCTCAGCATTGCACAATATACCTTTGTAACAAACCTGCAAATGTAGTCTCTGAATCTATATTTTTTTAAAGAGTGCGTTGTGTTCATTTTTAAAAGGGCTTCACATAAAATGTGGGGTTAGTATGACGTTTCCTATTGGTACACTGTGTGGCCTCTATGACTTAATCAATTCTGCAACAACTTTCTAAGAAGACAGGAGAAAATGAGCCCAGAGTGTTACAAGGAGCAACAGAATTGTCAAACCTTCCTAAGAGTCAACCCCAGCATCGCTTGCCAAACCTTGTCCCCTAAGAACACCCCAGAAGCCACAGTCTAATGTAATGGGCTGGAGCAGCAGCTATTTTAGGAATAGCTAAAATGGCAAAGCACGCCGGTCACTTTATATTAACACCTAAGTGACCTATAGATACACCCCACAGGTAAAAGGCATTTTCCTCCCGTTTGTGGATCATCACATACAGTTACTAGCCATACTCTCAGGAAGTTACTTGAGCTTTGACGTCCTCCCCTATGAAATGAGGAAAACAGTAAAGCCAGCTTCACAATGTCAGCAGAGACACCCTGAGCCATGCACAAGGAGCCTCTGGTAGCCAGAGTGCATTCGATATTTAGAGCTCCTTTCGACTTTGCTTTTCTTTACTGCCTTTCCAAATCTCTTTCTGGAAGAATCTGCTTGCATCAGTGACCAGCATCCACTCCTAACTCTGTTCAGCTCTCCAGACTGGACAGTAGGCTGGAGATGGAGCAGAGGTGACAGTTGTCTGGGATGAGCTCACAGCAGGTGGATACTCCTGTTGACAGCCCTGCCCTGACAGTATCTTCTGCTCCTACTTGTAGAAAGAGATTTTAATTTTTTCTTGATTTTGAAACACAGAATGGATATCATGATGAAGTGACTCACCAACCCTGTTAATACAACTCTGAAGGGGTTCCTCCCCCTCATCCTGATCTTCAAGCTAGAAAAATGTAGTTAGATGGCACAGGTGTTATTATGATAGGGATCAAGTACACAGGTCCCTTGAGGAAGAATACAATTAATGTATGAAACATGAGGCAAGAAATCTAATAAAGTGCTGCTATTAATGAAAATGGGATTTAGATAGAAGTACACAACTGCTTTTTTTCAAAAACGTTACAGGGAGATCTTTGAGCATTTTACATGTCACCATTATAATGTTAATCTGAATCATGGAGATGTGCACATTTTACAAATACTATCATATAGTTTATGTTACCTTGAAAGAACAATGCCTAAAATCTTGCTTTTAAAATGATGGGTTTTAAGTGGGAACTAAGCACTGGGTACACATGGACATAAAGATGGGAATAGGCTGGGCATGGTGGCTTACCCCTGTAATCCCAAAGCACTTTGGGAGGCCAAGGGAGGAGGATCTCTGGAGCCCAGGAATGTGAGACCAGCCTGGGCAACATAGTGAGACTTCATTTCCAAAAAAAAATTAGCTTGGAATGGTAGTGTGCACCTGTAGTCCCAGATACTCTGGAGGCTGAGGCGGGAGGATCACTTGAGCCCAGGAGGTTGAGGCTGCAGTGAGTCATGATCATGCCACTGTACCTCAGCCTGGGTGACAGGGTGAGACCCTGTCTCAAAAAACAGATATAAAAATTAAAACTAAAAATATGGGAATAATAGACAGTAGAAACTAGGAGAATGGGGAGGGAGGGAGGAGGACAAGGGCTGGAAAACTGCCTGTTGGGTACAATGCTTCATACCTGGGTGATGGATTTATTTGTACCCCAAACCTCAGCATCACGCAATATACCCAGGTAACAAATCTGTACATGTATCCCCAAAAGCTAAAATAAAAGTTAAAATTATTTTTTAATGATGGGTTTTTATGCTTAACTATTATGGGAGAAAGTATTGAGAAATTCATCAGTGAAATTGCTGATGAACACCAAAACAACAGCGAGTCATTTAAGCAAAATCCAAATTGGAGGGGAGCCTCAAACACCTAACACTGAAGGTCACTCGAACGTATAATGACAATACAGATAGGCACAGAGCTCACATGGCCTCTAGCTGAAAACAAAGAATTTTACCTTGAAACTAGAGATCGATGAACTTTTCTCTGCTTCCTTCAACGTTTCATTCACCCAGTTGACAATAATGTCATCATTGACCTTCTGGCCACCACCAATTTCTTCGAGGATATTCAGTGTATACCTGAACAAAATAAAGAATGATTTCTGGAGAACAGTGGCTAAAACATTTAATACGAACAGAGAGTAGCTAAGAATGGAAATATTCTTTTCAGGTATGTCATAGAAGACAATCTGGATACCATCACATTTGAGAGAAGAAAAGAATATATAACAACATTAGTTCCTTTTAGAGTAACTTAAGATGTGACTTTATGGCTATTACAATGAAATGCAAAGCAAGTATCTCCTTCTAAGCACGATCATTGCTCTGAGCAAAAAGAAAAAGCCAAAGAGAAAAAAATGCAAGGAAAGGAAAATGAAGCAAAAGATTCCAACCTGTGACAATTAAAAAAAAAACAAACATAAAAATCAAGAAATAATGTTGGAAAAGTTTGAGTAGCCTACACGATAAAAAAAAAAAGAGTTTTTTCCCTTATATACATAAAAACGTAATCTTTAGTCTGAAGGTAACAATGACCTCAGCTACCTACTGTTATGAAAATTGGTTTGCTTGTTGTTTTGGAGGGGTTGGGTGACATTTATTAAGAAGATGCTTTAAGCTCCTAAAATTCCAGAGTAGACCGGGCACCAGTAATCCCGGCACTTTGGGAAGCCGAGGTGAGTAGTTTGCTTACACTCAGGAGTTCCAGACCTGCCTGGAAAACAGCGAAACCCAGTCTCTACCAAACACACACACACAAAATGAGCCAGACGTGGCAGCGCTTGTTCGCAGTCCCAGCTACTAGGGAGGCTGAGGTAGGAGGACTGCTTGAGCCTGGGAGGCAGAGGTTGCAGGGAGCTGAGATAGTGCCACTGCACTCCAGCCTGGGCAGAAGAGTAAGGCTCTGTCTCAAAACCAAACCAAACCAAACCAAACCAAACCAAACCAAAACAAAACAAAACAAAACAAAACAAAACACATTCTCTGGAGCAGAGAATGTACCACCATTCTCTAAAGCTACTCCCTCCTGAAGGGGAGATAACATGGGAGAAAGCCAACCAGTTGAGGAACACATGGGCTTGCTGACTTCATCGTTCAGGTTTACAGGAGGGAATCAAATTACGCATGAAAGACCTTCAGGGCTAGAATTACAGAGCGTGCTTCTCAAACTGAAACTCAAGAATCCTGTGACTGAATCTCATCTGACCTGTCTACCTAAATCCAGGTCACCCTCCACTTGGGTACTCTAGCATTTTGCTTACACAATCCACCGGGTGTCTTCCTCTAGTTACTGCTTCTATGAAAAGTACAGTTCTTTCATGACTTTCCACACGGTTTTCAAGTTTAGTCCTTGGAATAAAAGCAATGCCTTTCTCCTCTAGGTTAAAGTACCTTCCTGGCACTGAAGAGAGGAAGGAAAATGGCTTCTGTAACTTTTCTTTATCAAAATTCATTTAACAAACTGACAGTGACATCCTATCAATTACTTCCCAAGTCTCCCTCAAATCAATTAGCTCTTCTTCATTCTGTTTTTCTTCCTCCCAGAATTTCCTTTCTGAAGTACAGTTCTGGTCCTATTTTTTTTTTTTATTTTTTAAATTCACAGGTATGCTCATGGCTCACTGTATCCCCAAAATCCTGGGCTCAAGCAATCCTCTCACCTCAGCCTCCCCAGTATGGAGTGGACCACAGACACATGCCACTATTCCCTGCTTGGTCATGTCATTTAAAGTGACTCGACATGGCCCAAAGAATTCAGGTAAAGCTCCAGTATACAGCACACAAGGCCCTTTACAATTGGCTCTAATGTCCTTTTCCAGCACATCTGTGATTTCCTTCTTCCCTCCCTGCTTCCTTGCCCATCCTGTGACACACACACACACACACACACACACACACACACACACACATATACGCATTGCAACCACACAGAACCATCAGCAGCCCCCAGCCGCACCTGCATCCTCCTTCTGCCTCCTGCTTCTGAGACTCAGCTGTACTCACTGCCTGGGTCCTTTTCCCTTCAAGTGAATTCCTAATCTTTTGAACAATCCTCAGCTCAAGTATCACTTTCCCAGCATACACAGTGTATTAATCAGTATTGTTACACTTGCTTCAAACCTGTTTCCCAGAACTTTTGATGACATTGGCATCTACCATGTGCCCTCAGACAGGGTTCACGTGCCCTGTTTAACAGAGGATAGCAGACTGCCTAGTACTACTGGACATCTAGTAAGTGAAGGCACAGAGTGGCAGGTGAAATAGAGTGAGTTTCTCCCAGGGAAAGCAAGGGGATAATAAAGATGTTCATTTTGGGCCCAGAATGAAGCCAAAATGCTGAGAAATCATGAGTATAAATGGGATAAGTGCAGATAGATTTTCAGAATATTTCTAGTTTGGAAAAGATCCTACTTTTGATCTGTTCATATATGTTACATTTTATGGCATAACTGGCTGCTTATTTCCTGATGGCATGCATATTAACTTATTAGCATTTACTCTAACATTAAGAATTTCTGCCTAATGAATGTCTGAATAAAAAAATGGTAGGTCAGTGCTTGCTTCATTAGGTCCTCTCTCTATATAACCTGATAGAACAAAGTCTAATCTTTTGGTAGTGTGTCTTGTCCCAGGACCTAGTTCTCACTTCCCTTCGTCAGGAGTTGCAGCCCTGTGTTGTCAACACGCTCACATAAACAGCAGCAGTGTTCTTGACCCACCTCCTAAGCCTGAGAACTAAATGGTGCAGAGGAGAAGCCCATCTTTATATTAAAGTTTATCTGCAAAAATAAGATACCAAGAAGCGGGGAAGCTTATAGAGGTATGGAAAATTGTGGAGGCAGCTTATTCCATTCTGGGGCTTGAGAACAGCCTCTCATAGCGGCACAGAGCTCCTGTGAACACAAGACATCTTTCTGCCACCTCAAGTGAGATGCAAAGGTTTGAAATGGCATCAGACACCCACGTGTAAGTACAAAGATTTTTAAAAAAAGGGAAGAAAGAATAGAATTAGGTTGGAACCCCCATTCTAGATCATATACTAAGCAATTGCTCATCTAAATACAGATTCGAAATGTAAAACAAAAACTAATTTGGTCTGTATCTTTCTAGATTTTTCCTTTTGAGAGAATTACTGCATATCATGAAACCTGCTTCAGGATGACTGTTCTATTAAATGGAGCCCTCCAGACAAGATCTCAGTATTACCAGTGTTTGCAAAATGTGCTGTGCTGAAAAGCTCTTTGTCAAAATGAAACAGCACTGTGAGCTCCAGCTTTAGCCAGTTCCTCCTTCAACAAAAGAGGATTGACAAGGCTTGGATGTGAGGCCCTAGAGGGATGTGATTATCACCTGCTTACTTTCCTGCCTTCCAACACTGTTTTATTTATTAACATTTGGCACAGAGGAACAAACCTTGGTGTTTTGTTTTTCAAGGACCCATCCTGACTTCACCACCCACAGCCTGTTTGATTTGGGGAGAGTTCCCTGTTTGTCTGCTACGGATTATTTGTTCATTTGCCTGAGCAGCGCTATTATTGCCACGTGCCAGCAGCCTGCTTGCTCCAAGGGTTTTATCTGCAAGTTTATGCATACACTATTTGCCAACTGTCCACCCTGAGAGTGATTTCCAGGCTACTGAAGGGGAAAGGGAAGTTTAAGTACCTATCTGTCATTTGTTCTCATGGGAAAAATGACAAGACATTTATTGTCCAGATAGATGACCAAATAAGCACATCAGCACAATTCAATAAAATAAATTCCAGCCAGAACTGACTGTAAATTTAATAGATCTTTTCATACATGGCATGCAGAGAAAAAAAAAATCCCTTCTGGTGCCATTTATATAATTATCAGTCATTGTTTCTCCTTCTACAGTAATGTATTTCTCTGTCTACTTTCTTATATGCACAATTCTTATATAGTAAACACTCATGAGAAATGTGACTTTTTAACCAGGTGGAGACAGCAACAGCAGAGTGGACCTTATTGTGTATGCGCCAGCCATTAAATAGGGTTTTGAGCCACATTTTTGTAAAACATCCAGAGCAAAGATCATATTGCAAGATGTTTTTCAGATATTATGAAATTTAATACAGAGTTGGCCTGAGTTGTTATTTTTTTTTTTTTAGATGGACTCTTGCTCTGTCGCCAGGCTGGAGTGTAGTGGCACAATCTTGGCTCACTGCAACCTCCACTTCCCAGGTTCAAGCAATTCTCCTGCCTCAGCCTTCTGAGTAGCTGGGACTATAGGCATGCAGCACCATGCTCAGCTAATTTTTGTATTTTTAGTAGAGACAGGGTTTCACCATTTTGGCCAGGCTGGTCTCAAGCTCCTGACCTCAGCTGATCAGCCTGCCTTGGCCTCCAAAAGTACTGGGCTGACAGCATAAGCCACTGTGCCCAGCTGGCCTGAGCTTTTTAGTCATTAAAATAGAATATATTAAAGATTATTTAATATTGAAACCCATGAGTAGGTTTAACTGTTGCAACTAAAAGGACTTTTGCTTTGGTTTTTAAAACAATCAGTATAAAAGCTAATTTGTTAAAAATTTTAAATGTGGAAGATAATAAAGATGGTTTGGAAATAGCATCTGGAAATACACTGGTGAGAACAGTCCTTATGAGTTTTCAAAGATGTTCTGGATACATGCAGTAAACTAAAAGACAGAGTTGGTGTTTCTTTAACTCTGGTGTTTTCTGCATCAGAGGAGCCTTATGACATCTCCCTCCATCATTAAAGAGACCCCAGTTTAGAAATGCACAATGGAGCTCTATACTTAGTAAAGCAAATGTGAATCAGGGAGTGAAATCTTTTATGATCACTTCCGATTACCCTACCTTATCTGGAAATAGTGATGCAATTAAATCCAGAACTGGCCATTATTAGGATCTGCAGACAGTGGCTTGTAACTAAAGCCACAGTGCCTAGGGACACCACAAACCTCGTCTTTGCCATTATCTTGCCAGACAGAGTGCAATGTGACATGCAGTTTCTGGGGCTTCCTTCCAGGTAGGAAAATGAATTAAGTCACACTAACTTAGGCTGTAATGAGGAGAGGTAAGATTTCTGCCTTGTCAGAGCTATTAGCATAAGGGCAAGACTGAAGCACTTACAAGTAAACTACTTTATTATTTACAGAATTGCTATCTAAAAGTCTTCTTAAGCTTATAATTTTGTACCAAAATTGTTTGTTTTCCTTATAATTTATTTTCTATTTGCATATCTTCTTATATTCTATTTTTGTTTAACTTATATCACCCTATACTTGTCACATTAGTTAAGTTCAGCTCCAAAAGGCATCTAAAGTTCTCTATGAAAGGAACTTCTGTTTCTGGCCATGATGGAATAACAGGGACCACATTTAAACATGTATAATACGGCGAAAAACATATGAAACAGTGTTATTCAGACATCAGACAATAGGAAGCACAGGACAGTGGCCCCTGAAAAGAAGACAACAAAGTGAGCCTTAAGATTTTTCCAGCATGGAAACAGTTTCCAAGCTGCAGTATAGGGGAGAAAACCCAAACAGAGCATGGTGATCCTCCTGAGTGGAGGAAACAGGGATGAGAAGTGAAGGAAGCCCAAGTGCCTAGAATTTAGGGGGAGACTATCAGAGAGGTGAGGACTGTATAGAGAAAAGAGAGTCATTCAGAAGGAAAGCTTCAGCAGCCTTCAGAGGGTTTCCCTCAGTCGTCACCTGAGGACCGCTCAGTGCACACATGTGAAGAAACTACTAGAGGCTGGGGGGAAAAACCCACCAGAAATAAGCCTGCAGGGCAATCTTTGGGGCTCACATAGGCTGGAAATAATTTGTTCCCAACCAGCTGGAGTGGAAAAATTTCATAATACATGGAGTATCAAGTAAAGTGCTCAGAGAGTATTTTCTCATTACTAAGAAGCAAAATGAGCTCTAGATTAATTAAGCTTAAAAGTAAGCCTCCAATAGATCAAACTGTATTTAAGTAACTTAAGTCTATCCCAGGATAAAATTCAAGAATATTTAAAGGAACATAGAAATATCCAGTACACAGCAAGGTCGAATTCATGATATCTGACATACAATCAAAAAATTAGCAGCATGCAAAGAAGCCCAAAAATGAAGCCCTTCATTTCATCTTCATAATGAAGATGAAAATAAATTAGAAACAGATCCAAAAATAAGTTACTATAATTATTTTCTGTATGTTTAAGAAGATAAAGGAAAGGACAGACATAGGCAATATAAAAATGACTCAAAATTTCTAACATGGAAACTATAATGTCCAGGTTAACAAATATATACACTGGATGAGGTTAATAGAACTTTAGACATGGCAAAAAAAAAATTAGTGAACTTGAAAACATAGCAATACAAATTATCCAAAATGAAACACAGAGAAGATAAAAAAATCAAGCATCAGTGAGCTTAGGGACAACTTTCAATGATCCAATTTACATGCACTTGGAATCCCCCAGAACCAGGGCTGGTGGGTACAGAAGACGTGTTTGAAGAGATGAAAGTTAAGTTTTCCAAATTTGATGGAAAATATAAACCCATACATCCTATAAGTTCAATAAATCTCAAGCATAAGAAACGACAATGTACATCATAATAAAATTACCTAAAACATACAAAAAAGAGAAATCTTAAAATAACCCAGAGGAGAAAAAAAGAAATACTGCATACATGGAAACAAAGATAAGAATGACAATAGATTTCCTCTTGGAAACAATGTGGGCCAGAAGACAGTGAAAACTATCTTTAAAGTACTGAAAGAAAAAACTATCAATCTAGAATTCTGCATTCAGAGACAAAAATCTTTTGAAAATGAAATAGACATTTTCAGACACATAGAAGCTGAAATCATTCATCACCAGCAGACTTGCGCTATTAGAAATATTTCAGGTAGACAGAAAATGATACCAAATGGAAATCTTGATCTATACAATAGTAGGAAGAGCACTAGGAATAGTAAATATGCAGATAAATATAGCATAATATCCCCTTTATTTAAAAAATCCCTTTAAAAGGTAACTGTTATTTACACAGATCAGTTAAAATAAAAAGGATGGTAAAAAGATATGCCACGCCACCCACTAATCAATAGGAAGCCTGCTGTAGCAATAATAGCTATTATATATTAATGTCAGAAAAAATAGATTTCAGAGAAAAGAATATTAGTAGGCATAAAGAAGGCTACTTCATAATGACAAAGGGATGATTAAATCAGAATGAAACAACAATCTAAAATGTTTATGAATCTAATAACAGAGTTTCAAGATACCCGAAACAAAAACTAATAGAACTGCAAAAAAAAAGCAGAAAAATAAAAACTGCTTCTTTGGTTATTAAGCTTAGCTTAAAACATACTTTTACTGAATTCACTCATAATGCTAGAAATTTACTAATATTTTTCTAGATAAATAATACATTCAAGAAAAGGCTGCTTCCGTAAGTTATAGTACCTTCTCATTAGCTGCCAAATCAAGGCCAATGTGAGAGTGCGGTTTCCTTCATTGAGATCCTGTCCACCAATGCCAACCAGGGAAAACTTCGCTTGATTCTTCCCCAATTCTACTGCATAGTTACAATTCTCAAGCTGAACGAGCAGAAAGGAAAACAATTTAATGTCATCATCTTGATTATGATAAATACCAGATAAATAATAAAAATAAAGATAAAAAATGAAATCATTATGGTCAGATTGAATGACCTCTCAAATCTCAACTGGTTCTGCAATTCTAGGATTCAAAATTAATGAATTTTTCCATTTTTCTTTAGAACCCCTCACTTTCATAAAAAATAGTCATGTGGAAAACCAGAATGAATTCATTATTATGGATTATGTTCACAGCTATATCACACTGCATAAATGGAGAGCCATTTACCTATGTATAATATTTCTAAAATAGGTGAAATCATGGAGATTGACATGGAAAATTTGGAGACTCCATCCTCTGCACACATAGCAAATGGACATGTAAACAGATAAAAAAAATAGTGAGAAATGGCTGTGTCAACCCTGTTGTTTCAAAACAATGTTCCCACTGTGTTGACAGTAGACAAACTATTTGTACAAGTCAAACTGTCAGTACAAAGCTCCAATTCTTTAGAAATTATAATGAAGATCCTGCTGAGGAGAAAATCCCTGTGGTTCTCTGCTTGCTCTAATTACCTTAATTAGAATTTTTGCAATGATAATGTTTGAAGACATCCAACATGGAATTATAAATAAGTAATCGACTGAAATAATGAACACACTTTAATAAACCTATTCAGGTTTCTGATTGCTGTACTAGAATTTAATTTCTGGATAAACATTACTTGTCTAAGTTCGGCTGATTTATAAAGTATTCGGAGTGTTCTTGCGGGCTACAACTCCGCCTGCCTGCTGGAACAACAGAACCATACTTGTTTACCTTCTTCATATTGCCTCCCAGTTTGGGGTATGGTGGTTTGTTTACTCTGTTCCAGTCAACAGGAACTTTAATCTTTTCATAGAGCTGGAAGATGACCAGGGCATCTGATAAGTCACTGAACAAAACAAACACAAAAGGATTCTCAGATAGCCAACATTTACTCAGGGCCTACAATAGGCCAGATAGTTTCTTACATATTAGAAACTATGTAGGCCAGATAGTTTCAAAGAATATTCACAACAACCCTGCACATTTGATAGCAGTAGCTCCATCTATAGTGGTGAAGAAACTATGACTCAGAGAGATTGGGAGACTCATTCTTCCTAGGTATGACCAGCTATGCCCTTCCAGCCAATTACGCTGCATCAGGAAAAGAAAGAGCAGGATGGTGATGAAATGATCTGTACGCCAAACCCCTGAAACGCGCAATTTACCTGTATAACAAACCTGAACATGTACCCCTGTACCTAAAAGTTTAAAAATTGCAAAACTAAATAAATGTGAAAGAAATATTTTTTAAAAAATGGCTTTAACAAGTGGCAGAGGAGACACTTCACCATAAACTTAACTTCTGTTGTTTTGCCGGCTTGTAAGCAGGTTATACGTAAGATCGCTTAGGACATACAGTAAATGTTTTGTTTTGTTGATGTATGATTTACGTATTGAGCACACAGTGAGACTGATGTATGCAGGCGAGTTTTTCAGCTCAATATCCAGCATCTGAAGCTCAACTTAGCACTTTTCCCCTTCCATCACGATTCACACATTTTGTGAAGGGAATGCACATCATAGTGGTATTTGGAATCCTATGGAT